TTAATTCACTTTAAAACTACATTATGAAAAACTTTATCCCTATAATAATGATCATTGTATACTTTTCTAACCAATTTTTTGTTCAATGTTTACATGCTGTGATTTATACATGTAATTTAATTATCTATAATATAAAATATATCTATAGCTATATATTATGTAGCTACGTATTATACTTGTGTTAATTATTTTTATTAATATTGTTAATTATTTTATTAACCCGTTGTATTTAAAAGGTGACCCTCAATCGCCATTCAGTCGAATTCTAAAGATCGATGTTAATTAATACATTAAATTTAAAATTACCCAATGATGCGTGGAATATCGAAATAAAATAATTCTACGTGTTAATTTATATACGATTTCTTGTTTATTATTTTAAAAAATATCGTCGACTTTATAATGGAAAATTTTTGAATTGCCATCTTTCTGTAACAAAAAAATCGCCAAATGAAAATTTGTATTTCATTTCCTGTCATCATTATTCATTTTGTTCTGTAAATCTTCTTTAATACAATGTGAATGAAACACTAATATAATTTATTATATATAAAAATTTGTTAAACAAATATTTTGATAAATATCTAAAAAATAATTCTACTTTTCATGAAAATTCTTAATAATCTTCTTAATAATTCTTAATAATCAATTAAACAACTTATTCATCACATACACAAAGTTGATTTGACAGTTGATTATAGAAATCTATGAAACTTATTTATGTATATTGTCGAAGAACAATATTTTATATTACTTTTGCTATAACTAAAATAATTAATGAATTAATGTGCGCACTATTTGAACATAAATAAAATCTTTAACCATTTTATTTCAAATATGGGATCATTTTTTGGAGGAATAGCTAAAATATATGTGAAAATAATTATTCTTCCTTTTTTATATTTGACATATTTATATAGCATGCATTTAGCAAATTTAATTAATATAGCATTTGCAATCTATTCCTTACTCGTATTTAAATTAACTGGTACACTACATATACCACTAAGTACCGAAGATGAAGATGATGATGAGGTATGAAATTTTTTGTTTATTAATAATTAAAAATAAATGACAATGTTAAAAAAATTTGATTTGAAATTTAAAAGACAGTTATTCTCAAAACGTCAAATCAATGAACATTTTATCTAATCAACAATTTGTTTTCATCAAAAAAAGGTTTTTACATCATAAACATTCGGCTTTCACTTTTAATTGGAAATAGATCGTATTTTTTTGTCAGTTAAAAAAAAAATAAATGTAAGTGTTAAATACTTTTTATGAATAATATTCACAATAACAAGGTACAAATTTATATAATTATATTAATTATCTAAACCTTTGTCAATTTCATAAAATATACATAATTGAAGGAATTAATGGTTTATTCCTAGAATCGTCTTACATACATATATAAATAAAAAATGAATCTCGCAAAATGTGAGAAATGGGCAGTATATTGACAAGTTTGGCTACCTTTAGCATTAGCATCATTTTTTATCCTTTCATATTTCTTTGCTATGTTTATATTCTTTTTATTATGATCGTTTTTAATATCGTACATTCTTTCTATATGTTTCTCATAATGTTACTTAGCGGTTTCCCAGATAGTACAATTATCGATTAAAATTAAGTGAGTTGTTTATAATTTACAAATAAAAATGTGATTCTCAAATATTTTTCAATTTATGCATTACATAAAGTTTGCATTATTATCTCACTTTCAGGAGTTTGAAGATGCTGAATCTAATTTCGAACTGGAAGATATAATTTAATTTAAAAATCTATACAATTTTTACATTAATACTTACAGTCATGTAAAATTAAATATAAATTTCGCACATATTTGGTAAAAATGCAAAATAATAGTTATGAAACGTATAAATAAGAAGCTTATTTTGGAAAAATAAAAATATTCATTTCTTTTTTAAATTCAACTTGCTAATAAATTATTTTGTACAGAAAATAATTTTCGTAATATATATATTAATTTTACTACAATTACTTTGGATAGCAATATTAAATATGTTTCATCTTAAAAAATAATAGAAAATATGATTAAAAATATTTATATATAAGAGCGTGCATTTTTATAATTTTCAAATTATGAATTAAAAATTGTGCATACACTTCAAAATACTTTAAATTTGCAGTTAGTGCATTTTTTAATCTTTTTTTGCCTACTGCTTTCATATACGTATACGGATTTTAGATGAAGAGTGCAACATCAGTTCAGAAAATGCCGATATGAAAATTGTTTGGCGTCACAGGAAGAAAACATGGTAGAAATGTATTGGATTGCGTCGTGTGCATTTCGATTTAATAGTTAAAAGTGTTAATTATTCTAATTATGTGAAAGTAAAATAATTAAATATAATACTTTGGACCCTAAGATTTCATAACAAGTCTTTTTTAATAAGAAGCCCCTTTTGCTGCAATGGTAACAATCACGAAATTGGTTCTCATCGCAGTTATATATGGTAAATTTATTCATTCTAATTAACTGCCTATGAAAGATAATATCGTTTTTGATTTAGTTTCTCAAATGTAAAATTAATATTAAGAGATAAAATCTAATATTATTTCATAACCTCCAAATATTGTCGATCGATAACTTACCAGAAATTAGTATTTGCATTAAAACTTTAATTTGACTTAAATCATTAAAAAGATACATATGTTCAACCAAAATTTAAGAAAATCAATTATATTTAAATTTGAATATATAATGCATATATTTTTAAATATTTACTTAGTTTTCAATATTATATCTCTTTTTTATAAATTATATTTTCAAATATAGCTATTAACGAAATACATTTTAGCTTTTTCAGGTATTTTTACTCCTGTAATAGCATCACGTGTAATTGAACTATGTGACAGGTACATCATATTTATTATTATATTTTTTATACCTTATATTTATATTAGTTAACTATATTTATATGTATAAAGTTTTTTATACTATTATTATATCTTCTTTTATAGATTTTTGGATATTCATAAAGATGGTCAGTGGCTTGTAATGGTATGATATAAAATATTTTCCAGATTATTTTTTTATGTAGAATTATTCACGAATTATAAAGATAATTTTTTGCAGATGTATGCACCATGGTGTGCACATTGTAAAAGATTAGAACCAATTTGGGCTCATGTAGCACAACATTTATATGCAACATCAATAAGAGTAGGACGGGTTGATTGTACTAGATTTACAAGTGTTGCTCGTGCTTTTAAAGTTAAGGGATTTCCAACTATTATATTGTAAGGAAGGCAATTAAATTAATTTTTATAGTATTAAATTAATAATATATTTAAAATTTTATATATATATATATGTATGTATATATATATGTATATAGCTTGAAAGGTGAGCAAGAATTTGTATATCATGGTGACAAAACACGAGATGAAATAGTAAAATTTGCACTACGAGTAAGTGGTCCACCAGTTCAAGAAATAACAAAAACTCAAAGTTTTGACACTATTAAAAAAGAACGTGATTTGTACTTTTTATATGTTGGAGAAAGATCTGGGCCATTATGGGTAAAATAAGAATATAGTTTTATTTACAATATAATAGAAATGTTAAGAAAGATTTTAATGTGTATAAATATATTTAGGAATTTTATTACAAGACTGCAGATGTGTTCCAGCCACATGCATTTTTTTATCAGTCTCATCCAAATGTTGTTAATAAACATGCTCCAGTAGAAAGTATTCCAGCATTATTTGTCTATAAGGAAAATTTACATTATAATTTTAGTGGTAAATATTATCCATATTATATTTTTAGTAACTACAAATGACTTATAATTAATTATTATAAGTTACTTATAATTATAATATTTATAATTGTAATAGATCATAATATAGATAATGCAGAAGAACTAAATGAAACAGTATACAAGTGGATAAATACAGAACGTTTTCTTACATTTCCAAAAGTAACAAGAGGAAATATAAACCAACTTTTATTGACAAAAAAAAATTTAGTTTTAGCAGTAGTAGAAGAAAATCAACTAGAAGAAGTACCACCACATATGATACGATTTAAAAATATGGTAGAATCTATAATTAAAAGTCAGCGAGAAAAATATCATGAGTAAGATACATGATACCAATATATGCATTGTTTATTTTATTCAAAATTTAATTATAATTATTGTTTTTGTATTTAGCCATTTTCAATTTGGTTGGATAGCTAGTCCAGATCTAGTCAATAGTATAGCAATGATGGTTTTACCATTGCCAAATCTAATTGTTATTAACACTACAACAAACCATCACCACATTCCAGAGGATGAAGCAGAAAAACTGACTCCTTATGTGATAGAGTTGTTCCTAGAGCAAATTCGAAATGAAAGTGCTCCGGTAGATAAAATTTTTATTTAATAGATCTAGAATATTGCATGAATATTAAATAAAATTGACATTATACGATATATTTTTAGCGATATGGTGGAAATAGTTGGTTGATACGTATATATAGATCATGGTTTGAATTAAAAACAACTCTTTCTGCAATGTGGATGGGTAATCCTATCCTAACGATAGTTTTATTTGGTTTACCGGCAGGATTTTTATCATTGATATGTTATGGAATTTTTTGTCCAGATATTTTAGATGCAGATGATGATGAAGAAGGTATATGTATATATTTTGCACTGTTTACATGCATAAATATATACATTATTAATAATTTTCTAATATTAAATTATTTTTTAGATCAGCCAGGAGCAAATCATATGAAAAAAGATTAAAACAACTGAATTACGATATTGTTTACATCCATAATATTGTACAATTTTTAATGTTTATTTTTTTTTTAATTTTATTTATTTTTGTATATATACGTATATATGTGCGTATATACGTTATTGATATTATTTATAATTCATGTAACAAAATTATGTAAATTATGAAAATCGTCATTTTTGTAGTCAGTGAAGTGAGAGATTCTATGAATTAATGATAGAATGATAAGAGTAAATTATCTTAACTAAATAGAACTTTCATAAGACAATACAAACAATGTAAGTAAACGAGCTTTTTTAAACCTTGTAAAAGGATTTCAATTGAAATATGAAAATGTATTAAAATTTGCGTAAAGAATATAAAATGGAAGCAATGTTGTGTATACTTTTATTTTAAATTACAAACGTATATTTGTTTTTGTAAATATAGTGAAAAATTCTATGTTCTATATTAATGTTTATCTGTAGTGTAGGTGTTTGGTTGAAAATATGATAACTGTTTTAGGGATAGAAAATTGTTATGTTCTGAATACGTTTATTTACATATAATAAAAATGTAATAATACTTCAAATATTTTTTTCATAAATATAAATTAAATCGACTAAATAAAGGAATATATGTAAAAAAATACATTGTAGAAGTTTCAGAATAAAATATGCATTTCAATGAATCTTAATAATTGATTTCAATTTTTTATTTCAATATATCATAAAAAATAAAAACATATGACTAATTAAGTGTACAGTTATGTATTGTAATCTTAATTCTTGTTTAAAAATTAAACAAAGAATGTAATGTTGATGTTTGACAAGCCACATAAATATATGTAGGTGCTACAAATCATCATCAGAATCCAGTGCTGCTCTTCGTCTGTCAAACTAAAATTAATTGTTAGTCATTTCTTTTTTCTTTGGAAATATACACTTATAATATTTTATAACTAACCTTCACAACAGTCTTTCGTTGCGTTTGTTGATTTACACTTTCAAGTAAATTGATGAGTTCATTTTCATCTAATTTACCACGTAATTGGCCTCGTTGAGCCATGCTTAATATTATATCTTCTACCATTTTTCCCTTTTCGGGTTTCCCAAGAGACAATGTGTTCACTTAAGGAACATTATATGTTAAGAAATTTTATATACAATATATATATAAAACTTAATTATTTTAATATTCTTACATCTTGCTCTAGCTGACTGATCTAATACTTGGCTAAGAATAGAATTCCTCATGTCTTCCATTTGTTGCATTTTTTCTTCCATTGCTTGTTTATTCCCCACATTGTTACCCTTAACATTTATAAATATAAATAATAATATTAATAATAGTTGCAAATACGTAATAAATATTTATATATGTAGTATACGTATGTTACAGTTATAAATAGCTTGATGTTCAAATTTAAACTTTACAGGATAAATTTATTTTTATGAAATTGAAATATTACTATAATTATACATTATTTCAAATTAATTTTTATTTGCAGATTTATTAAATTATTTATGATTACACTTGTCAAAACTAATAATATATTACAAACTATTTCCTTTTTAGTGCAATTGATACTTAATTTACCTTATATTGCGATTGCAACTGAGCTAACCGTTGTTGCCTTATTGCTTCAAGTTCTGGATCTGACATATTTTATAATACTAATTTTTCGTTATTTAATATTTAGAAATCTTTATTCGATCTCAATGTATGTAGGTTCTACAGACGTAGTTCCCGTTAAAATGTTGCAGTGAGAAACATGAAGGTGGTCGAATATACATAAATCGATTAGATCTACGCATGTTCAGTTAAAATTTGGATTTGTAATAAAACAGTTCTGTGTAATTAAATTTGTATATATAAACAAATATTTTTAATATATAAACTATAAAAACTGTTATTATATAATGTTTGGGAATATGATTACGTATAATGATGAGTTATTATAAGGGATATTTATTATAAATGTTTTGTTGGTCAATACAATTTTAACCTCAATACATAAGTACAAATTAGTTAAGTTTATTGTGTTATATTAATTAAATATTTAATATTTTAAATGTGTTGTTACCAAGTAGTAAATAATAAACTTTATTATTTAATAAAATTTACTACTTAAAGTAGTGAATAAACAAAATAGAAGTTAGAATTTGTTGTTATTTACAATATTGAAATTTGAATAACTTTGTATCGAAATAGGTTTAATATAAAAATTGTAACATTCAAAGTTATTATTGAATTTATGTGTGCAATTAAGGGATGTAAAGTATATATAAAATAAAATGTATCATAATGCATAACTCATAAAAACTAAAATTGAAATTTATATACTTTTGTAATAGAAGGTTACACAAAGGAATAATGCTGAATTTTAATAAGATTTTGCACAATGGTAATACATGTAATATTAAAATTATGAAGTTTTAATTATAAATAATTAATAATTTATAAGATATTTAATATCAACGTTTTGAATCCTGATAATTTTTTAATTTTTGGTGTTGCTTACCTTATTATTTAGTATTTAAATACTTAATTTTGTATCTGAACTATTATTTATAAATAATATTTCATTATGTTTTATTACAAGTTTTGCATATAGAAAAATATATTTGTGGTATATTATATTTTATATTTAATACATTTTTATGTATAATATCATTCTAGTGTATATAAAATTTATATTAAAGAATAATAGTCAAATATAGCTGCTTAATTTTGTAATTCTTTATTTCTTTGTGTTTTAAACATTATAGAATATGTAATAAAAGTATATTTTGTAATAAAAATCAATAGGGTAGTAATAAAATTTGTAGCTAAAAATACAAATTTAAAAGTAAAGCTATAAATGTAGACGAAGAAATCTGTATGATAGAAAAGAATGAGAAGTCATTGGGGTTCTGTGAGAAAAAAGTGTTATTTTTCTGCAGATCTCAGATTTCATCAGTTATACTGTATATTCAATTGATATAGATTTTTACTATATATATGTATATATGAAAATTATTTAACATAATCAATGTAGGGTGCTCTTGTGATAGTTTTGCAAGTTGTATTTCTATTATATGGGTCATACCACCTTTAGTTTCATATTGTAATTATTAAAAATTTACATAAATGAATTAAACTTTAATAAAATGTAGTTCATAGAGATAGAAATTGAATGAAAATATTCTATAATGGCATGTTTTTAGAAATGTTTGAAGATAAAATGAATTTAAAAGGAAAGATATAATTCAATTATTAAATTATAAACAACTACTAAACAAGAATTAAGATATAATTAAATATTGTTTAATTAGTAGATGCATGAACATGACTTACACGTTAAATCTGTTAAAATTTTGGTACAAAATATCTTGTTAGTTGTTAATTCCTTTATCTAATCATCAAATATCAATAATTTAAGTATTATATGTACTATGATTACAGAAATGTAATTCAAAGATGTACACTCTAGAATCTTTCCTTGTTAGTATTTTTTATCACACTTAAAACAATTTTTCAATGTTTATAACTTGATAAAAAATATCTTTTCATAATTCCAGATAACAGGAGTGACTAAAATAATAGATACTTTTAATATTTTTTGTGAAATATAAATATCAATACAATTGATTAAATTATATACTCTGTCTTAATAATTAAATATAAATTATTTAATATGCGATGGTGGTATATTAATTTTATGATATATGTATATATTGTTTTGGAGTAATTAAATTTAATAAATATATTATACAATTTATATTTATACAGAAACTTTATTATTCTGGATCAATATTAAAAAGTACAAAGCCCATTTTATTCATTTGAAATGCATTTATTACTTTAGATAGTATTTGTACTATCATACCAAGGTGGCATCCAATTTGCTGGAGTTTTTGCTCTTCCTTTAGAAATAGGGAGTGTACCATCAATATTATAATTTCGATCTGTTTGCCTTCTGCGAATTTCATTTTTATGTGTATCAAAGATTCCATTATCCAGAACAACAAATGATTGGCCATTAGGGTGTTGCTTCGTGCTTTTACCAAAACTAGGAGAATATGGTCTGATAGCATTACTTTGAAGTACACAATCCGATGATGGATTGTGTGTTCTTCCGGAAGACTTCAGTGATGGCGAACGTCTACGTCGGAAACCTCTGGGTTCATCGTCGACATTACAGACATGAAGTCGGTAAGTCGGACTAGTCGATCTATTTTTCACTGTGTTGCATTCTGTCACATCTAATTGTGATTGCCTTTGGATTTGCGTTTGCGAAGATTTGGAACAAATTGAACTCCTAAATTTCAATTACATTTATTTCAGTTAATACGTTTTAAATAGCATATTCAAGTAAAATATATTATTTCTCAATTATCGAAAATACAAGAAATTGGTATGTTTGAGGAAGAAAATGTACACAGGACTTGTATGATTTTTGCTTATATCTTAATGTCAATTTCTGTTTGATTTAAGTCAGACAGTTACGAATTTTTATAGCAATCCTGAATTGCATTAAAACAAATTATTATTAAAAATACGTAGAATTACAATTATTTGTAATATCTAAATTAACCTATAAAATTTTGTTCCTTTAATTAAATTTATTAAATAAATTGACTTATTTCGTTACATTGTTGTACATTGTTTGTACATTATTTAATTGTTACATATCTATCAGATTATACGATATATAAATAATAATAGTTTTATAATTCTAGATGACTCTATATTGTATTATGATTTTTAACTACTAGTCAGCTAACTCTTTTGCTCTTTCTTTATGAACAAAATATATATAAATATTATCACTAATTGATTAATTAATATTTAATAAATTTCCTTTCTCAAACAATTTGGCCCTCGTTTATTTCCACAGATAAAAAATAGATATCTGCGTTAAAATACATTATTTATAGATTGAACAGAACTTTCAATTACAAACCTTCGACTATTTGTCGGTGGTTTTCCGCAAACATTATCTTCATGAACTCGAGTGTTTAACACTTGAAACGCGTCCTGATCTTGAGCAGCATTTGCAAAACCAAATTGCTCTGCCTTATTGCTTATCCAATAATTTTCTTTCGGTCTGGATGCGCTTAAACTACGATCTCGTCTACGATGCATTCTTTGTTCAGCTTGTAACAGATTTTCACGCTTTGTGCAATAAGCCGTTCTATATTCCGGTTCAAGGTCAAGATTACCTTCCAGACGCAAATTGGTCGGCATTTTCAAAGTTTCGACTCTCGGTATGTGACCATAAGGAATATATTGGGCTCGCACCTCACTGGTAAATTCGTGATCGTGTCGTTTACACTCTTGTCTACCAAAACGTGTACCATGTTCCGGAGGAGCGAACGTCGACCTCATATTTAACGGCGGTTTTCGATAAACCGGATAATCTCCTTGATAATCCAAGTATTTCGATTTGTATTCCGGATCTTGGTCAATTTTCGTAGGAAATTTAGGCGTTGGTGAAGAAGATATTTTGGAACCATCTGCTCGTCCAATTTCATCCTCTGGCTTTACAATCTTAGGCCTCTCCCTTGGGAAATTCTAAAAATAAAGAAATTTTCTCTTTAAAATTCGTCATTAATAATATCGTGCTTAACAAGACGTGCGAAAAATTAAGCTCACCTTATATGCATCTTTATACTCTGGAATTTCTAATGGTGGACCTTTCAAATCCTCCAGTTTTGAGACTAACATTTTCATTTCGGCGTCCTTCTTTTGTTTCTCTTTTAATACCTTTTGCGTCTTCTCTTCTTCCTCGATGTCTTTATTAACCACATTCGGCAATTGTGCCTGCTCAGTACGAAAATCAACGAAGTTATCGGTATTCTCGGTATTTTGGAAAAAGGAATTTCCAGTCTTTAGATGAGTTTCAGGTTTCATTGGCTGCGAGCGTCCTAAATACGATGACAGTATAAGGTTACATATTCATCGGATTAAAAAGAAGTATAAATAACTAAATTAATTCGTGCAATCACCTTTATTATTGTGTCTTTTAAAGACATCGGTATATTCCGGCAGGAAATTCGCTTCTCCGTTTAATTTCAAGTTGGTATTCTGTCTCAATAATTCTGGTCTTCGTACACCTACAAACGGCACGTATTTTTCGTGATTTTCCGTGGTCGTTTCGAATTCACCCTCGAGTTTCAAATGCGTGGGCACACGCATAAGTTCCGGTCGACTAACGTTCAGCCATTGGATGAACTTCTCGCATTTTTCAGTAGTCGTTTCTAAATCGCCTTCCATTTTTAAAGACGTAGGTCTGCGAGCTAGCTCAGGTTTATGTTGACCTTTATAGGCCACGTATGATGAATAGGTCTCAGTATCCGTGTATAGTTCTCCGTCATGCTTTAAAGTAGTACCCCTGGTGCATTATGAAAGTATAAATTGAATGGTTGAAAGAGGTAGCGATTGACCCTTATTCGACTACGAGTTGAACGTTTAACCCCTTCCCGTACTTTGACGAGTCTGACTCGTGACGAGGATTTTGGCCCAAGCATGAATATCACGAGCCAGACTCGCAGACGTATTACATGTATTTACATTTCGGCTCGTATTGCGACTGGTTTTGAGCATCAGTCTGGTCTGTTTACCGCGCGTTGACCCCTACTATTTGGGCCCAGATTTCGTCGAGCTAAATGGCACGGGAAGGGGATAATTTGCAATGATAATATGGAGAACGTTGAGAATGGACTGTATCATATATATGGTGTCCCAGCAATGGTAGTATAACCGGGAAGGGGGTGATTCCGCATGCAGAAACGAATCGAAAAGAAAGAATCAAATTTTTTGATTCGAAGCTTCGTTTTCGGGAAAATCGACTGTAAACATTCACCGAGTGTGCGTGCATTTAGCTATGACTTATGTGTATAGACCATCAATACGTATGCACTTAACTTTGGCTAAGGCGGATGGAACATCAGTATATCAACGTATTCGGTGAATATTCAAAACCAATTTTCTCGAAAACGAAGCTTCGAATGAAAAAATTTTATTTTTTTTTTCGATTCGTTTCTGCATGTAGAATCTCACTTTTCCCGGTTGTACTATCGTTGTTGGGACACCTTGTATATCAGTGAGTCTTTTGTTAGCATATAGTACGAGTACTACCGAGGTATGTTGCTTATACCTAGGTGTTAAGCTAGCCGAACCAAATTGTATTAAATTTAAAAGTAATGTATGCAGTGAGTAAAGTGCGCTTACATGAGCTGTTCTTGAAAAATAATATATACGCGTTGAATTGAAATGTTTGAAGCAATGATGACCTGCATAGCTAAAAAGAAGTGTCGGGACTATAACAGTAAAATTAGAAAAGAATTCAACGATACGTATAATGTTTATAATACAATGATTACGATCATGTTCCATTTATCTGTCACAAAACCACTTATTAAATGATAAGAAGTTTCGATATTACGTTAATACGTCCTCTGTCGTTTATGACAGATTTAAGAGTACTGTCCACTTAACTCACTAACGCCACCGTAAACCGTATCTCCGATGAACCTACTGTAAGTATCGTATACATCATTGTACTATATTTTAATTTTACTGATATAATCTAGGGACTTTCTCCTTACATGTACGATGTTGCTTTAAACATTTCGGTCTAATACATATATTTCCATCAGAAGATTGAGGAGGAGACTGAGAATCGATGAAGATTAGAAAGGAAGAAGAAGGAAAAATAGAGGGAACTGTAAGAAGATTGATTGGCAAATATAAAGAATAAGAGATGTTGTTTTATTCGAAAATATATATTTATTACGAGCTAAATGGGACTAGGAGTAAAGTATAAACTAAAAGCCTAGACTGATAACTGATCTATGATTACACAACCGACCGACACTCTCACGTCAACTCTCGCTAAAAAATCCGTAAAAGACTGGTCCCAAGACAACTCTTGCACCTTATTTAAACCTAGCAGTCTCTTCTTTCACACGCAGGCTTTCTTTCTCGATCACTCATAAACATCCCGTCCATAGAATCCTTGTACTTACGCAGCCACTTGTCCTTCCATATGCTCTCCAGATATAACCCTGAGCATTCGATCTGAACCCGTGGCTGCTGTTTATTATGTACAACTGGCCCCTTGCACTCACTCTCAAACCCTAATATCCTACATATACATTTTTATCGTTGAACGTAGCACATGTAAGCGTTCGAATACTTTCGTATATGAGTGTCTATAATAATCATGGATTAGTTAGGTAGTACACGAAAAGAATAGTCGAAAACTATTGAAATATATTTAACGATAAAAAATAAAGGATTTTCAAATTGTGTAAGCAATTAATTTTCTTGACTATGAAGATTCGAATGCTGATCTTGATGTCTGTTTGATATTCTCAGTTCGATAGAAGGGAGATTCGGTTTAGTACAGAATAGAGATGAGACTGCTGATACTTTTAGAAAATTTATGGGCTTTGTCTAAAATATCGATATTTTAGATAAAATTTCTTCTAAGAGAACATCTCTCAGATCTCAAAAATCCGTATCAATAATTTCTCATGCTAATTCGATCTTCGAAAATTCATCTTCCATAGACTTTCTTAACCGATAGTAATCTACACATTCCACACCTCCACTAGTATTTCACTAATTCGAATTCTTTCTGGATATTAAAAATCCGCGTTCCATCTCCAGACAGTAGAATTACAGAACCGTGTTTCGAACGTCGATCACGACATCTCACGATACGTTACTGAACTTGTAAAACACGGCAAAAATTAGAGCAGTGAATACAATTTAAATCACGTATAATTGTACGATTTGTTCATTTGCAAACGGCGAAGGTGATTAATTTCGCTTAGATCAAATCGTTCCGCGGTTTGTAAATAGGCGAGATCGAGCAATTCGAGCCTTACAACCTCTTCTTTAAATTCTGAGCTTTGTACAGTATTATATGGTAGTTCTTTTATACTCAGAATTCGCCCTTCTGTCGAATTTAACCATAGAAAACTGGACATTTTAACTAAAAAAACGAAATTTACTTCTAGATTTCCTCGATGCTTTCACATGTAACGAAACTATTGATACAAAATTGTGTTTCTTGTAATCGTATAATCTTTGTAAATAATATCTTTACTCGTACCTTGACACA